ATGGCAGAGGCAGCGGGCGACCGTATGGAAGTTGAAGCACGGGACCTCGAGTCCCTCGCGTGTATTGAAGTTCCTGCTGTTGGCCACGCTCCGGTGATGGTTATGTTCCGCATCTGACATGAGCGGTTGTGCTTCTGAGTTATGGTATTTATTATTTATCTGCATGCATTGAGTTTTGCGTTAAAACGGACACACGTGCCGGGCCTATGTAGTGTATTCAGGTGCACCTGGCACGAGGAGTTGGTTGCCATCGCCGACGCCATCGCGAATGGCTCCCTGTTCAAGTGCCGGAAGTGTTATAACACGGAGCGACACCTTCAATCCAAGTACAAAAAGGAGGGGAAGGCACACATTTGGCGGGGTATGGACACCCAGGCCCGGCGTGCAGAGATCAAAAAACACAACGGAAGCTCGGAAGGACAAGGCAAGCGGCGTGAGTACACCATCAAGGAGTCCACGAACGTAACGGACAAAATGGGGTGCCAAGGGAACAAACCCTTTATGAACCAGAGACAGCCTCTTGGCATTAACTTACACTTGCAACTTGCCACTAGTCGTTCTGTCCTGTTGCCTGTTGCAGCCGCGTCTTATTTTTTGCTGTCGTTGTTGCTGGAGTTGCAGCTGCAACCGCAAATTGCAATCTGTGGTTGTTGGTGTCGTCGTCGCTGCTGTTGTTGCTGCTGCTTTTGTTGTTGTTGTCGATGTTGACATCGTCCTTGTCGTTGTCGTCGTCGTTGTCGTCATCAGGAGAAGCAGAAAAAATAGTAATATTAAAAAGCAATAGTAGTAGTAGTACAGTAGTAGTAGTCGTAGTAGTAGTAGTAGTAGTAGTAGCAGTAGTAGTAGTAGTAGTTGTGGTGGTGATAGTAGTAGTAGTATCAGTAGAATCAGTAGTATCAGTAGTATCAGTAGTACAGGACCACATGAGTGCTTGTAATTCTAGTTACAGTAGAGTGTATAGTGTATAGATCCCTGCCGGGAGGACCATATTTATCGCATTTTAGGTTTATCAGGAATCAGAATCGCTCAAAATTATTTTATACCTATATCTTCGGTGCCAGTCGGTTGTTTTTAATCTTCACGACTGCAACATCTCATAGTATGCCACACGAGTGCCATCACTCCAGGCTCCATCCCCTGACCCGGAGCTCGAACTCTCGAAACTACTAGTGGTAGCAGTAGTTGTCGTCGTGAGAAGTGAATTAGTAGTAGTAGCAGTACAAGTCGTAGCAGTCGCAGTAGTAGTAGTAGCAGTAGCAGTCGTAGTAGTAGTAGTCGCAGCAGTAGTTGCAGTCGTGGTAGAAGTGTAGTAGTAGTAGCCGTAGTAGTTTTAGCAGTAGTAGTCGTAGGAATTTTATAATTTTATTAGTGTTAGTGTTAGAGTTAGTAGTAGTAGTAGTAGTAGTAGTAGTAGTAGTAGTAGTAGTAGTAGTAGTAGTAGTAGTAGTAGTAGTAGTAGTAGCCGTAGGAGTAGTAGTAGTTATAGTAGTAGTAGTAGTAGTAGTAGTAGTAGTAGTAGTAGTAGTAGTAGTAGTAGTAGTAATAGTCGTGGTGGTGGTGGTGGTTGTAGTAGTAGTAGTAGTAGTAGTAGTAGTAGTAGTAGTAGTAGTAGTAGTAGTGGCAATAGTAATGCAGTAGTAGTAGTAGTAGTAGCAGTAGTAGCAGTAGTAGTAGTAGTAGTAGTAGTAGTAGTAGTAGTAGTAGTAGTAGTAATAGTATGAGTAGTAGTCGTAGTAGTAGCAGCAGCAGTAGCAGTAGTAGTTACTAATTAGTATTTCTTAGTAGTAACTGGTAGTAGTAGTCGTAGTAGTAGCAGTAGTAGTAGTAGCCGTAGTAGTAGTAGTAGTAGTAGTAGTAGTAGTAGTAGTAGTAGTGGTAGTAGTGGCAGTAGTAGTAGTAGTAGTAGTAGTAGTAGTAGTAGTAGTAGTAGTAGTAGTAGTAGTAGTAGTGGTAGTAGTAGTAGTAGTAGTAGTGGTACTAGTACTAGTACAGTACTAGTAGTAGTGGTACTGATAGTAGTCATAGTGGCTGTTGTAGTGTTGTTGTTGGTGTGGCTGTCGTTGTCGTCGTGATTGTTGTTGTCGTCGCTGCTGTTGATCTTGCTTGTGTTGTGGCTGTTCTTGTGGTTTGGTTGTAGTAGTAGTAGTAGTAGTAGTAGTAGTAGTAGTAGTAGTAGTAGTAGTAGTAGTAGTAGTAGTAGTAGTAGTAGTAGTAGTAGTAGTACAGTAGTACTCGTAGAAGAAGTAGTAGTAGCAGCAGTAGTAGTAGCAGTGGTAGTGGTAGTATTGTAATTATTATCATTAGTGGTAGTAGTAGTAGTGGTAGTGGTAGTATTGTAATTATTATCATTAGTAGTGGTAGTAGCAGTAGTAGCAGTAGTAGTAGTAGTAGTAGTAGTAGTAGTAATAGTAGTAATGGTAGAAGTGATAGTAGTAGTAGCAGTAGCAGTAGCAGTAGTAGTAGTAGTAGTAGTAGTAGTAGTAGTATTACTATTGTACACATTAGAAGTAGGAGTAGAAGAAGTAGGAATAGTGGAGCGGTAGTAGTAGTAGTAGTAGTAGTAGTAGTAGTAGTAACAGCAGTAGTAGTAGTAGCCGTCGTCATAGTATGGGTGGTAATACAGTAATAGCAGTAGTAGTCATAGTAGTGGTAGTAGCAGTAGTAGTAGTAGTAGTAGTAGCAGTGGTAGCAGTAGTAGTAGTAGTAGTAGTAGTAGGCAGTATCAGCAGCAGTAGGAGAGTCTATGGCACTCGGCGGGGGCGGGCCCTAATTATCGCATTTTCGATTTTCCAAGATCTCTCAAAGATAGTTTGCATCCATATTTTTTGACACTGGCCCGTTTTCGCAATGGTGACACTTGCAAAACACACCAATACCAAACCTCTCAACCCCAGGCTCCACAGCCTACCCCTGAACCCAAACCAAACTCTCTAAACTCTAAACTCTCAAAATCATGTAGTAGTAGTAGTAGTCGTCGTCGTCGTAGTAGTAGTAGTAGTAGTAGTAGTAGTAGTAGTAGTACGGTAGTACTCGTAGAAGTAGTAGTAGTAGTAGCAGTAGTAGTAGTGGTAGTGGTAGTATTGTAAGTATTATCATTAGTAGTAGTAGTGGTAGCAGTAGTAGCAGTAGTAGTAGTAGTAGTAGTAGTAGTAGTAGTAGTAGTAGTAGTAGTAGTAGTGGTACTAGTACTAGTACAGTACTAGTAGACTAGTAGTAGTGGTACTGATAGTAGTCATAGTGGCTGTTGTAGTGTTGTTGTTGGTGTGGCTGTCGTTGTCGTCGTGATTGTTGTAGTCGTCGCTGCTGTTGATCTTGCTTGTGTTGTGGCTGTTCTTGTGGTTCGGTTGTGATAGTTGTTCTTGTGTTTGCTACCCGAACATTGGCATGGCGCACAGGTTCGAGAAGTACGGCCGCGAGACCTGGGGCTGGACCCCACAGGTCGCATCCGAGAAGTGGACAGAAGCAATGTCTGACCCACTGGTCCAGAAGGGTACGGATGAAGAAGGGTGGCCGACCGTGGCCAAGTTTTCCACCCACTCCCTCACCTCAGGCCGTGAGCTCTCCCACACCAGGGGGATCACCAGCTCAGGACAGACAGAGGCGCACGCCCACGAACTGCGTAGTGTCGCTCAAGACGTACTAGAGGGTGGTGAACTCCACACGAAGACGGGTGTCTTCGACAACATGGCACTCCCCACGTTGCCGGGCTTCGCGAGGCTCGCCATCCAGCCTAGTAAGAAGGCTAGGAGCAAGCCCAAGACCAAGAAGACTGAGAAACCACCGCCACCGCCTTTGCCCAGCCATATCAAACCGGAGCCCAGTGAGAGCGACGACGGCAGCAAGGTCCGGAAGTGTTTGCACGAGCTCAAGATTGCCGAGACCGAACGAAAATGGGTCGCCCGACTTGGCTTATATGTATGCCGAACACAACTGGTCTCATGTTTTTGGTCTAGCGCATTCGTTGGTCGTTGTGTCCCGTTGTGTTGTGAAGTGAACTGAAGGTTGCGGCGATTGAGGAGCAAGCGCCGGTTACCAGCACCTCCCTCCAAGCAGCTGCTCCACTGCCGGATCTCGCGCAGCCTTTGTCCTAGTGTTGAGTGTTGAGTGGTGTGCATTGTGCATTGAGGCATTGAGTGCATTGCATTTTGTGCAGTGCCTGTTGTGCAGTTGATCGCGCCGCGAAACATGTTTTTGCAGTTGTGCACAGTTTCCATGATTTTCATGTTCGTGACCTTGTGGATGCTGTGCATTGCATTAGGCTCTCCGCTGGCCTCCTCGACACCTTTGTGGGGCTGGCATCTATGCTTCCTCCCTCATGCAGGGAGGGATGCATTCCACGGTTGGAGCTCACCAAGGGCCTGGAGACACTGAGTGCGGCAGTTGAGGATCGCATCAGGGAAATGAGCCCACGAAGGGCGGCTATGACACATGCCGCCTTCGACGTGAAGGGTGATCCGGATGGGACCCATGGAGGCAATCAGGCCCTCAAGTGGTGGGAAAGGGACTGTGAATCCCGCCTCAAAGCGTTGAAGAAGGCTGAGGCAGGAGTCGCACGCGAGGCCAAAAAGATCAGAGATAAAGAAAACCGCGACAAACTAGCGGAGCAGAAAAGAGCCAAAGCCAAAAGCCTGGCTGCTGCAAAAGCTATTGAAGCCCCCCCGGACGGAGGCGAGCCCATTACCGGGTTGAACGCCTGGGTTCTGTATGCACAGGGCGAGACAGGTGCAATGAAACCCATCGAGTTCAGAGAGGGTGCCGACTGGTGCATTGACGGAGAAGCTGTATATGGGTTCAGTGTCCCCGAGTCTGATCTGGTGGACCTCCGCCTGGACACGTCACAGGAAACCTCTAGCGTGGTCAAGCTCCCAGATTTCACGGAGCTGCTGCCCAGCATTGGGCGGAAGAATGCGGAGCAGGCTCTCGATCTAGCTTTGCCTTTCTTGGTCTTGACGTGTTGAAGTGTTGATACATTGGCCTTGATTGTTGTGCTTTGAGCTTTGTGACATGTCCGGTGACGTTGTGGTGTTCCCGTGTGTGCCTGATGCCATGTTAAGATTGTGCGTTGGGCCTAAGTTAACAGTTAAGACATAGATGTTGATGTTACTAAGTTACTAGGAGGTTACGTCACGTCTGTTAGCTGTTATTACGTAAGTTAACATAAGTTAGCAAAAGTTAACTTGTGGGTTGAAAGAAATAGACAACCATGGGGTGGGTGGGTGGTGGGGGTGGTGGCGGGGTGGTAGTCGAGTCGGTGGCAGGCAGTGAGGTGGCAGAGAGGGGTTGTGGCAGTTGGTGCACGGGGTTGGGGTTGTGGTGGGTGCGCTTTGCTGGATGGTGGGGTGGTGGGGCCGTGGTGCTAGTCAGCTCCACCAGACGTGCTGTTGGTGCTGGTGATGGTGGTGGCAGTGGTGGCAGCAGTGGTGCTGTCGTTGTCGTGGTGGTTACTGTGGTTGTTGTTGTGGCTATAAACGTACTACGACTATAAACTATAAACTATAAACCTTCTGGTGGTGGGGGCGTTCCTGAACACCCAGAGCCTAAGCCCATAGTATCAGCTCTTATCTTTGTGGAACGCTTCAAAGAACAGCATCGGCGACACACATCGAATACCATTTCACACGAAACCGACACGAAACAAAATAAGTTGGAATGAGTGAACATTAACATAAGCTAACATAAGTTCACATAAGTTAGAAAACGTCAACTGAAAGCTTAATCTGAGACTAGTAACTAGTAACTTCTATATCTTCCAAAAACTTCCTACTAACTTCCCCCAAGTCAGCAGAGACTTACTACTAACTACCAAGATGTAAGGGGTTAATACGGCCATAGGAGGGTTAGTTACAAGTTATACAGGGGGTTACTAGTCACTAACATCTATAACTTAGGCCCAACGCACAATCTTGGTGATCCATGCTACAGGTCGGGTGGGGCCAACAGGCATACCTCAAAGAGCCTGCACATCGCACTAAGAGGGGCGACGCCTTGTGGCGTGCCATGATCGCCGCGGTCCCGGATGACTATGTCTTCCAGGGCGTCCCCGACGGGCTCATGCCCGACCTCACCGTGTGCTTGTCCGGACACTATTTCATCAGCTTGGCACCGCTGCAGAAACTAGTGCGAGCCTACAGCTCCACGAGTCAGAGTGGGCCTCCTGTGACCCTGTCGGACTTGTGCGGCTTCATGGTGAACACCAGCGCGACAGAGCTCAACAAACATGGGGCAGACATCACACTTGTAACGCTCGGGCCTGGTGACTGCATCTACACCCCGGCAGGCTACCTGCGTGCGGAAGGCTTGTCACTGTCCTGTCCTATACACTGCGAAGTTTGCTGGTTTGCTAAATACTGCAGTTACAGTTGTTTCACTTTGGTCGCCAGGTGCGGTTTCAGGCTCGGACACAGTCCAAGTCCAAGTCATGTCCAGCACCGTGGCGAGCCTACCACAGGCACTGCTTTGGCTTGATCGGGGTTAGGGCTTGCACAGTCCTTGACAACTTGACACTTGAGAGTCCTTGGGATGTCAGAATTGAAATTGAATTTGAATTTGAGTTAGATCATGCGGCTTTGATCTGATCACCTGTGCGAGGTCAGGGCGATGACCGACGACCTGTTCAAAGTGGCACTTTCATTGACGGCTCCGCCCTCAATGAAAAAGGTTCGCCAGAGCCTCGAGGACTCGGTCCGACTCCGTGATCGACTGCTTGCCACGGCACCGGCGCCGCCGCCACTTCTACCCGGTTCAGACGCAGACCACGTGGAGCAGAAGACCAAGGAGGCATCAATTGTCGTCATCCGATGCATACTGCATACTGCATTGTTGCATATTGAACTTATTAATATCTAGTATGTATATAGTATACAGTATATAGTATATAGTATATACTATATACTTTACATACTACATTATATATACATATATATATATATATATGTATTATAAAATTATAAATATGCAATACATGTATAGTATATAATGTAATCATATAGTACATAAAGTATAAATATATATATATATATATATATATATATATTATATGATATATGCGATACACTTTCTTAAATTCACTACATGTACTATACAGTACTATACAGGAGACCGCCGACAGCACCGATGACTTGGAGTCGGAGCTTCCTCAGCGACAGATCCAGAACAGCCAGGGTACTCCCCCGGGTACTCCGGTCCTTGCCGCTTGTACTTGTACTGTTTGTCTGTTGGGGGGGGGGGGGAATGGACATGCCCACGGCTCATTTGGCATTTAGAATTAAGTTCGTTCAGTACTTATAGTACTTAAGAGACTCAATACTATAGTATAGTACTAAGTAATAAGGATTGGAAAGCTGCACCGGCACCGACCCCACCGCTGTCACCGGAATCACCTGCGGACAACGAGGCAGATGTCACTGTCTGCGCCTGCCTATATCATGTGACTGTGATGAGTGCTAGATGCTGAGGGCCGCGAGGGGTCGCCGGGATCACATCCGTCGTTGTTCTCCGACGACGAAGATGCGCGCCGCCCCCTCGTCCCGATCCGCCGGCCAGTGCCATTCACACCTCCGGCCGCTTGCCCATGACATGGCTGGCATGGCTTGTGAGTATTGAGTTGTGAGTTGTGAGGGCGTTCGCAATGGCAATGGTTGTGAGTTGTGAGTCGTGAGCAGGGAAGACGAGCTGCGTGACAGTGTGAGTTGATCATCCATTGGCAGTACATCAATAGTACGTACATAGTACGTACGCAGTACATAGTATGTAGTACGTAGTACGTAGTACGCACTTAGTACTTACATAGCGTGCCTGTAGCGTCACCTGTAGTGTCTGTGTCTGTGTACTATGTATGTACTGCTGTAAAATGTTACGGGCGACGGTGCCGAGGCATACATCCGCAGGCCGCGGTCGCCCCACCTCCCGGACTACTCGGTGGACATTGAAGCACTTGAGGCGGAGGCAGATCTATGATGAGTAATGCCAGTACTGCTGCCGGTTGTGAGTTGTGACTTGTGACGTGAAGTCATGAATGAGCTGCGAGTGTCGCTGGACATTCGTAGCTGAACCGACACATGTGAAGCGAACGTGAACTGACGTGCACTCCAATATTTCCCGGAGCCGGCAGCGGCCCTGCTGGTTGTGAGTTGAATGAGCTGCGCATTTTTGTCAGTGCGGCGTGTATAGTATAACGGGTATAACGTTAGAAAAAGGGATGTAGTTGTTGAGGCCGCTGCACATGATGCCGAACTTGACAAGAGGGAAGCTGCCCCAGAGCAGGCCGGCATGCAGCGCAACGCAGTGATGCTGGTAGTTGTAAGTTGTAAGTTGTAAGTTGTGAGTTGTGTCCTTGTGTCATGAGCTTTCAGTAGTAATGTAGTAGAGTGAGTAGCATCTCACCGTTGCGACATGGATGCACATGTGCCTGCACGCACAACGGAGGAGGCAGAGTTGAAGGAGTCGTCGATCGTTGAGGCCGAGGCAACGGAAGTTGCACTTGAAGCAGCCCCTGGTGAGAATGCACCTGCCACAGAGGAGGCAGGCGTGTGCAAAAAGTTGGTAAGTAGTAAGTAGTAAGTTGAGAGTTGAGACTCATGAATGAGTAAGCAGCTAGAATGGCTAGATTTTGCTCACTTAATCGTTGCGACATTGAGGCGCAGCGAGGGACCAGAGGTACAGTGTTGATCATTGATCTAGTTCCAACCCTTCTGACCGTTGCGACATGGATGCACATGTGCCTGCACGCACAACGGAGGAGGCAGAGTTGAAGGAGTCGTCGATCGTTGAGGCCGAGGCAACGGAAGTTGCACTTGAAGCAGCCCCTGGTGAGAACGCACCTGCCACAGAGGAGGCAGGCGTGTGCAAAAAGTTGGTAAGTAGTAAGTAGTAAGTTGTGCGTTGAGACTCATGAATGATCTATCAGCTAGAATGGCTAGATTTTGCTCACTTAATCGTTGCGACATTGAGGCACATGTGCCTGCGCCTGCACCCACGACGGAGAAGGCAGAGTTGAGGGCGAGGGACCAGAGGTACAGTGTTGATCATTGATCTAGTTCCAACCCTTCTGACCGTTGCGACATGGATGCACATGTGCCTGCACGCACAACGGAGGAGGCAGAGTTGAAGGAGTCGTCGATCATTGAGGCCGAGGCAACGGAAGTTGCACTTGAAGCAGCCCCTGGTGAGAATGCACCTGCCGCAGAGGAGGCAGGCGTGTGCAAAAAGTTGGTAAGTAGTAGGTTGTGCGTTGAGACTCATGAATGAGCGTAGAATGAGCTAGCAGCTAGCATTCGAGGCAACGGAAGATGCACATGCAGAAGATGCAACTGCCGAAGTGGAGGCAGAGTCTGAGTCTATGTGAGTCAGCGCGACGAGTATAGTATAAGTCGTATAAGTATAAGTGTCAGTATAAGTGCAAGCATAAGTGTAAGTAATAGGTGTCAGTGTAAGCAGACGTTGTAATTCGTCATATTCATACTGCAACACGCAGTCGTTGATCGTTCAGGCCGAGGCAGAGGAAGTTGAAGTTCAAGCCGCGCCTGTTCTCAATGCACCTGCCAGAGAGGAGGCATGCAGTTGTGAGCTGTGACATGAGTAAGCTACGAGTCCTACGAGTGCTACGAGTATCAGTTGATCATCACGAGTGGTGACATGGATGCACATGCGCTTGCACCCTCAGCAGAGTCCACGGAGAAGGCAGAGTTCCGGGTTTGGAGTTTGGAGGAACTGAGGGAACAAATATACAGGTTGATCCAGCCCCTGTCCTCGCGGTCAAGCCGCTGTCGTGCCGCCTGCGTGTTATGAGTGATGCACAGGCACAGACTGGCCAAGTCACAGACGTACAGAACATCGAAGCTGAAGAGTCTGCAGTGTTTGCAGTGGCCCGGCTGGTTGTGGATTGATCGAGCCATCGAACTGCGAGTATATGTCAGCGCGACGAGCATGAGTATGATTGTAAGCAGACAGTCTGCAGCAG